ACGGGGACAGGGACAGCGCTGGGGACAGCCCCGGGGCCAGCAGGGCCAGCAGGGACACCAGGGCCAGCAGGGACACCGCCGGGGCCGGGGGACACTCTGGGGACACTCTGGGGACAGTGGGGACGTGGGGACAGCAGTGACAGTGGGGACATTGGGGGGACACATTGGTGACAGCCCTGTCCCCACTGTGCTCCCACAGCCGCCGAGGGTGACACGGGGACATCTCCGGTGCCACCCTTGGGGACATCTCCGGTGCCCCCCGCCGAGGGTCCCCAGCAGGACGCGGAGGAGGCGCAGGCCCTGGAGCTGGCCCAGACAGGTGACACGGGGACCCGGGGTGGGACACGCCAGGGACACGCCAGGGCCACCCCGGCCTGTCCCCGAGTGCCACCTGCGCAGGGATGGGGGGAGGGGACAGCCCTTCCTGGGGACATTCCCTGAAACGCCCCCAGACCCTCCCCTGGGGTCACCTCCTGTCCCCATGGTGTCCCCACAGTGTCCCCAAGGTGTCCCTGGGCTGGGCCAGTCCCGCCCTGGGGCTGGGGGTGCCACCCCCAGTGTCCCCTGTGTCCCCATTCCCAATCCAGGGGGCTGGGGCTGCCACCCCCAGTGTCCCCTGGTGTCCCTAGTGTCCCCATTCCCAATCCAGGGGGCTGGGGGTGCCACTCCCAGTGTCCCCTGTGTCCCCATTCCCAATCCAGGGGGCTGGGGGTGCTACCCCCCAGTGTCCCCTCGTGTCCCCAGTGTCCCCATTCCCACTCTGAGGGGCTGGGGGTGCCACGCCTGGTGTCCCCTGTGTCCCCATTCCCACCCTGGGGGTCTCTGGGTGCCACCCCCGTGTCCCCGTGTGTCCCTGTGTCCCATCCGTGTCCCCGTGTGTCCCCAGAGGAGCTGGCCCTGCAGCTGGCCGAGGCCGTGGCCTTTGGGGACGAGCTGGTGGCGGCGCAGAGCGCTCTGGGTGCCACCCCCTGTGTGTCCCCGTGTGTCCCCGTGTCCCATCCCGTGTGTCCCCGTGTGTCCCTGTGTCCCATCCGTGTCCCCGTGTGTCCCCAGAGGAGCTGGCCCTGCAGCTGGCCGAGGCCGTGGCCTTTGGGGACGAGCTGGTGGCGGCGCAGAGCGCAGTGGCGCTGGCCCGGCGGCACGCGGAGCTGAGCGTGCGCCTGCGCCACAGGGACCCGCCCGGGGGCCACATCAGGTGGGGAGCCTGCCTTCCTCCGCGGCCTCCTCATCGTCACTGTCACCCTCCTCATCGTCTTCCTGACCCTCGTCATCATCGTCATCCTCTGCTTCTGCTTTGCTCCTCATCGTCACTGTCACCCTCCTCATCGTCATCCTCACCCTCGTCATCGTCACCCTCACCCTCGTCATCATCATTGTCATCCTCATCATCCTCTGCTTCTGCTTTCCTCATTATTGTCATTGTCACCCTCGTCATTCGCTGCCTTTGCCTTCCTCATCATCCTGAATCTCTGCCTTCTTCATCATCATCATCATCATCGTCACCCTCGTCATCATCATCCTCACTGTTGTCATCATCATTGTCACACTCGTCATCCTCAATGTCTGCCTTCATCATCATTGTCACTCTCATCATCATCATTGTCACCCTTATCATCCTTTGCCTTTCTCATCTTTGTCGTTGTTGCCATCATCATCATCATTGTCACTCTCATTGTCATTGTCACTCTCATCATCATCGTTTTCACCTTCATCATCCTCTGCCTTCCTCACCATCATCACTGTCACTCTCATCATCATTGCCATTCTCATCATCCTCTGCCTCTGCCTTCATCATTGTCATTGTCGCCCTCGTCATCATTGTCACCCTCATCGTCATCGTCACTCTCGTTATCATTGTCACCCTCATCATCCTCTGCTTTCCTCACCATCATCATCGTCACCCTCATCATCCTCTGCCCCTGCCTTCCTCATCGTTGTCATTGTCACCTTCATCATCGTCATTGTCACTTTCATCATCATTGTCACCCTCATCATCCTCTGCCTTCCTCACCATCATCATCGTCACCCTCGTCATCCTCTGCCCCTGCCTTCCTCATCATTCTCAATCTCTGCCTTCCTTGTCATTGTCACCCTCATCGTCCTCGTCCCCATCCTCTGCCTTCCTCACCATCATCACTGTCACTCTCATCGTCATCATTGCCATTCTCATCATCCTCTGCCTCTGCCTTCATCATTGTCATTGTCACTCTCGTCATCATCATTGTCACTCTTATCATCATTGTCACCCTCATCATCCTCTCTCTTCCTCACCATCATCATCGTCACCCTCATCATCCTCTGCCCCTGCCTTCCTCGTCATTCTCCATCTCTGCCCTCCTTGTCATCGTCACCCTCATCGTCCTCATCCCCATTCTCTGCCTTCCTCATCATCACCGTCACCCTCATCATCCTCATCCTGGTTCTCTGCCTTCCTGCTCATTCTCATCTTCATTCTGTGCCTTTGCCTTCCTCATCCTCATCCCCATCCTCTGCCTTCCTCATCATCATCATCATCATCACCCTTGTGCTCATCTTCATCCTCATGCTCTGCCCCTGCCTTCCTCATCAACATCATCCCATTATCTCCCTGGTTCCCAGCATGCTGTACCCCAAACCACAAATCCCACGTCCCAAACCTCAAACCCCAATCCCAACCCCAATCCCAGTCCCATTATCCCCATTCCCACCATGCCGTACCCAACCCCAAATCCAATCCCAACCCCATTCCCATTCCCATTCCCATTCCCATTCCCATTCCCATTCCCATTCCCATTGTCTCTCGTGTTGCCAGCATGCTGTACCCAAACCCCAATCCCAATCCCCAAACCCCAATCCCAATCCCCAGTCCCAGTCCTAGTCCCATTCCCAATCCCGTTGTCTCTGCCCTTCCCAGCACGCCGTACCCAAACCCCAGTCCCAAACCCCAATCCCAGCCCCGTTCTCTGCCATTGCCAGCATGCCATACCCATACCCCAAACCCCAATCCCATTCCCATTCCCAATCCCATTCCTATTATCTCCCCCGTTCCCAGCATGCCGTACCCATTCCCAATCCCAATCCCAATCCCAACCCCAACCCCATTGTCTCTCCCGTTCCCAGCATGCCGTACCCAATCCCCAATCCCTAACCCCAATCCCAACCCCATTCCCAACCCCGTTCTCTCTCTCCCGTTCCCAGCATCCCAAACCCCAAACCCCGACCCCAAACCCCACTCCCATTCCCAACCCCATTCCCATTCCCGCTCTCTCCCGTTCCCAGCATGCCGGTGGGGGTGGAGGATGCCACGTCGTCGGCCAGCATCACCCTGAGGGTGCAGCCCCAGCTCAGCATCGGCTCCCTCAAGGAGCAGGTACGGACACCTGGGGACACCTGGGGACACCTGGGGGGACACCTGGGGACACCTGGGGTCACATGGGGACACCTGGGGACACCTGGGGGGACACCTGGGGTCACGTGGGGGGACACCTGGGGGGACACCTGGGGGGACACCTGGGACACCTGGGGTCACATGGGACACCTGGGGTCACATGGGGACACCTGGGACAGCCGGGGACACATGGGAGTCACCCGGGGCTCTCCTGGGATTTTACCTGGGATCCTGTCTGGGATCTCACCTGGATTCACCTGGGATCTCACCTGGGATTTTACCTGGGATCCTGTCTGGGATCTCACCTGGGGTTTTACCTGGGATCCCTTCTGGGATCTCACCTGGATCTAACCCAGGATCTCACCTGGGGTCACTTGGGATTTTACCTGGGATCTCCCCTGGGATCTCACCTGGACTCACCTGCAATCTCACCTGGGATTTTCCTGGGCTGGGTCTAACCCAGAGCTCACCTGGGAGCTCCCCGGGGTTTCCCCGGAGATCTCCCCTGGGGTTTTTTCCTGGGTGCTCACCTGGGATCTCCCCCGGGATCTCTCCAGGGCCTCACCTGGGATCTCCCCTGGGATTTCCCCCAGGATATCCCCGGGATCTGAGTACAGGTTCCCCCTGTGACCCCATTCCCTGGGATCCCCCCGATCTCTCCTGTGCCCCCAGGTGTTCCGGGAGTACGGGTTTCCCCCTTGGATCCCATGTGATCCTGTGTAACCCCATGTGCTCCCGTGTGCCCCTGTGTGCCCCCAGGTGTTCCGGGAATACAGGTTCCCCCCCTGGTTCTCCCCTGGATCCTGTGTAACCTCATGTGCTCCTGTGTGCCCCTGTGTGCCCCCGTGTGACCCCCTGTGCTCCCCCTTTCCCCCAGGTGTTCCGGGAGTACGGGTTTCCCCCCCGGATCCCATGTGATCCTGTGTAACCCCGTGTGCTCCTGTGTGCCCCTGTGATCCTGTGTGCCCCCGTGTGACCCCCATACAGGTTCCCCCCCTGGTTCTCCCCTGGATCCTGTGTAACCTCATGTGCTCCTGTGTGCCCCTGTGTGCCCCCGTGTGACCCCGTGTGACCCCGTGTGATCCCATGTGCTCCCCCTTTACCCCAGGTGTTCCGTGAGTACGGGTTTCCCCCCAATCCCCTGTGATCCCATGTGACCCCGTGTGCCCCCATGTGCCCCCGTGTGCTCCCCCAGGTGTTCCGTGAGTACGGGTTTCCCCCCAGTCCCCTGTAATCCCATGTGCTCCCGTGTGCTCCCCCTTTCCCCCAGGTGTTCCGTGAGTACGTGTTTCCCCCCAGGATCCCATGTCATCCCCCTGATCCCATGTGATCCCGTGTGCCCCCAGGTGTTCCGTGAGTACGTGTTCCCCCCAAGGATCCCATGTCATCCCCCTGATCCCGTGTGCCCCCGTGTGCTCCCCCAGGGGTTCCGTGAGTACGGGTTTCCCCCCAATCCCCTGTGTGACCCCGTGTGCCCCCGTGTGCCCCCGTGCTCCCCCAGGTGTTCCGTGAGTACGGGTTTCCCCCCTGGATCCCCCCTGATCCCATGTGACCCCGTGTGCTCCCCCTTTCCCCCAGGTGTTCCGTGAGTACGGGTTTCCCCCCGCGGCGCAGCGCTGGATCATCGGGCAGAGCCTGTGCCGGGACGGGCGCAGCCTGGCCTCCTACGGCATCCGCCGGCACGGCGACCCCGCCTTCCTCTTCCTGCTCTCCGCGCCGGGAACGGGGGCAGAGCCGGGAGCGGAGCCGGGAACGGCACCGGGAGCGGAACCGGGAACGGGAGCGGAGCCGGCCCCGGGCCCCGAGCGGCTGCGCGAGCTGCAGGTGCAGGGGCTGCTGCGCGCCGCGGGGCTGCACGGACACGGGGACGGACACGGGGACGGACACGGGGACGGGGACAGCGCACCTGGCACAGGTACGGGCTCCGGAGCCGGCCCCAGCCTGTCCTTCCTCAGCAGCATCGGCATCATCCTCAGCCTCGGCCTGCTCCTTCCTCAGCATCATCCTCATCCTGCTCCTTCCTCATCGTCCTCATCCTCAGCCTGCTCCTTCCTCATCATCCTCAGCCTGCTCCTTTCCTCATCATCCTCAGCCTGCTCTTCCTCCTCCATTCCTCAGCCTGCTCCTT